ATTACCCCGGCAGAGGTGTAAATTCCAAGAATAAATGAGGCAAAAAAGCATGGGGTGACCATCATATAAATCCTCATGATCCTCCTCCCTCACACACATAAATACTTCAATCCTGGGCGGTAGAGCTTCCCAACGTCAATGACCTCCATCTGCCTAGAGATCATGCTAGGTAAACCGGGCACTCAGAAGTCAGCCTGGAGGGTGGAGAAAGACATGACAGCATGCTGATGTCTCTCACTGAAATCTTTCACCGGGCCTCCGGGGCCAGGTGGCAGTGCTTCCACGCCGATCACGTGGAACGCACTCCGGTGAAGCGGCTTGCAGGCCTTATAAGAGCAGGACAGGTCTATTAAAGCAGCATTGCGACGAGAACGAGAAACAACTTTTATGAAAACTAAGGCAGAACTTTTGATATTACATTAACGAATCTATATCGTGTGTATTACCTTCCAATTGTGATCGAACAGTTGAGACAGAAAGAAATAGGGGTCTTCATAATCCTTTGCTTCCTGAACGGCTGCAAAATGTGCAGCTTTTTTCAAAAGTTAGTTTAAGTCGGTACGTGTCTGATTCCTTTTTGACGTCTTGAAGCACGCACCTTTCTCTCTTGCACATTCTAAACTCTGCTTTATGAATCGAACTTCTTCGGTGCTGAGTCCAGTTCGATGGGTCTCCGGTGATGTCGCCCAACTCCTGAGTAGTGGAAGACCTCCTCTGGTCCACCCATGGAAATGATTCAGGATCATTGTAGAGCCAAAATGGAGCTCTTTGACAAAGTCTTCTTCTACGTATCGGGACTACAAGATCGACGGTTAGTCCGTTCTCTTCAACCCTTGGGAATGGTGATCTACTTTGAGCCCATATTTTATAGCTTGCCTCTTTTCAAAATCTGTCAACATAGCGCAGCTATGCAGCAGTATGAAGGAACACAAGTATATAGCGAACCAGGACTCGGGTTTGCCCTTCTCTATTAGTCTCCAAAGAGACTGAAGGACCTCCTTTTTCAGGGGTTCGAGGACTTCGGATGTCGCGATCATCTCCAGCTGCGCGCTCATGACAGGCGGCATAAGCACCTTGCCGTAACTGGGAGCTTCATCATCAAAGGTTTGGGGTTGCATTCCTAATGTCTCGGATCCACAGATGTACTCAGATCGCGACTCCATTCGCACGGCAACCCAGAGACGAAGGACATCGCGAACAAGCTTATGTCGAGAATCACCCTATGAAGTTTAAGAATATGCCGTTGATATGATGATCGAGATCACTTACGTTTGGTTGAGCGGAGTAGCTGAAGGCCATATGGTAGGTTCGATGCAGTAGCCAGTCCGACTCGTCGATGTAATAATTGATGGACTCTTCGATGCTGCCGTCTACAAACTTACAAAAATCCTTACATGTTTGTCTCATATTCTCGATGGCGTAATTCGAGCATTCGTAATGTTTCGCAACTCCACGAGTCTTCCATTCTCTTTGTAGTTTATCATGTTCTTCCGGAACGAAACGTCGAACGCGAAGCGGATATGCGAGACCGTTAACTTCTTGTGTGACCGTTATCGTCACAGTGTCTGTTGAAGCCCAATTCGCTATCTCCTTGATCTTCATTGAGTCCCAACGACGAGTCCATCTGTATTGTGGATGCGATCCCTTCGTAAACAACTTCGCCTCTGAGAGCTTGATTCGGAGACAGATTGGTGGACACAACGCTGTGTTTCTCATTTGAATACAAGTGAGGCACATGCCACCGGGGTTGGCCTCATCAATCAAGCACTAGGTTGATATGAACATATGCGATCTTGGATGTTGGGATGATACGTACCCTGATCTTTTGTGCCCGACAGCGGACGCATGCACCCAGTCGGCGCGTATGCCCCGTCTGCCTTCTCTCTTCATCTTTGAACGGTTGTCGAGGGTTACGTGGCTTCGAACCAACCTCAAGCTGATGGATGTGCAGTCGAGGACGTTTGGCACCTTTTTTGGTCCTACTCTGATGTTGGTCGCTAGGTGATCGAGGTCGCTTTACAGGTAACATTGGAGTTCCCTCTGAGTTGGGACTGGCACTGCTGTTTTCAGTGTGACTGCTCCCGGCTTCGGTCGCGCTACTCGAAGCATAGCTGCGAGAAATATTGGTAGAGGTGAGGCTTCCATGTGCTCCTCCGGTCATGCGTGTTGCTATATTCGGTACGTTGTTCCTGCCAGCGCTGGTAGCATACCCTGTACTGTGCTGGGGAAAGATATCATCGCCAGACACGGTAGTAATAGCGATATTTTGAAGGAGCCGACCATCACCTAATCTTTCTCTTGGCTGCGAATAATTCGCTCTGTTGATACGCCTCTCCAGGTTGTCAACTAGCTGCTCCTGACTTAAGTCAAAGCCTGCAGGACCTGGGGGAAAGTGGTCGAGTCTTTGGTGGCCATTCTCTACCTCCCTGACGATATATTCATGGTTTGGAGCTTCTCCCACTGTGTGATATAACTGCCTTGCCGGGTGTCCATCGTGTGAAAAGCCATCAGGTAGCCGTAGTGAGTCTCCTGAGGAAAGCAGGTGACTTGAGAAAGCACCACCTAGTGGAGGTGGATATTCTTGTACCGTAGAAACCGAAGTCATCAGCGACTCTGGCGGGAACGAGTGGGAAAGCCCGAAGAGATGGCTAGAGTGAGTATGGTCAAATGGAGCTAACTGATAGTCAGAGACCAGCGTCCCCACGTCTGTTCCAGATCCCTGGTGATGGCTATCAAATGGGGAAACATGGACGCGCTGTGACATTCCAAGCAACGTTTCAACCGATATCTCAAGAATCGCCGATGCCCGTTGAAGAGCAAGCACTTCTTCTTCTGTAAAGTGACCCCGTCTTCCTCTTTGGCTATGTCCCGAGGGGTTGCACAAGGCCGGCTGCTGAAACTGTGCCTGAAGGATTTGTTAGACATCCTCGGCTTTATCATCTGGAAAAGGGTATATTCAGGTAACGTCAACAGACCATGTTTGTCATACGCGTCGAAAGACCCTGAGCTTGCGCCGCTGCGTCCGTTGGGTCCCGGTAACGGGACATTGCGTCCGAAGGCCAGCAGCCCCTGTTGCTTGCCGGTGAAGAAGGCGGTGTAAGTGTTTCAGTGATACATCAACTTGAGAAGTCGTTGACGGTTTGCTCATCGACAATCTGAAACGTCAAGATAAAGACAACCAGCTTACGCGCCATTGAGCCGCGTTGCGGCCTAATTAAAGAGTGAACATGGCAAACCCATCGCCTGAAATTGCCTCAATCATCCTGAAAATTGAGGTTATGGCAAACGGCCTTTCAGCTGACATGGGCCGCTAAACCGTGATGGTTGACGCCTTGCACCTGACTTTGGGGGCTTTGGGGGCAGGAAAAGGAACATTGGTTACCGGTCACGTGGCACCCTCACCGGGCGTCCGAGCATGCAGGGGGGCTTTACGCCCTGCGTCTGTGGCTGGGCATTTCTTCCTATGACAATTCAATCTGGCGAGGGTCAAAAATGTCAAGTGGTTCTGGAAGTAGAAAAATCTAGTAAAGCAAGGGACTCCGGATCTAATGCAACGTGAGACGCGCGAAAATCCGATTCTTAGAAAACCTTGCAGAAGGCTGTCAACATTGTGAACGTGAGGTGGCGACGATGATGGCCTATTTACTGAGCGCAATCCCTTCAAGGTCCGCCCGGGTTCGCAATCTGCCTGGACATGCATTTGCTCTATGCCCGAGGTGTTTGGGTCGGCCTTGGGCTAGCCTTGTTTGTCCTGAGATATCTTGGTCTGAACCACTCATACCCTAGGACGCCGGAGTCTGGTCTCACGATGACATTGCGCCCAGCGACTATGAGAGATCTCGATGAGATTACTGCCTTAGCATTAGCAGCGCTGCCCGATGATCCTGTCTGGCCATACCGATTCCCAAATGCAACATTATATCCCGAGCATTATCACAAATACAGCCGACTTCGATTTTGGGAGTATCTCAGCAATGCGGAAGCGGGCGTATACGAGGTCATGCTCGTAGAGGTACCTAGCAAAGATGATCCCTCTGTGCCTGTGGTTATAGCCATGAGCATGTGGCAGCTTCCTGGGTGGCATCTGCCTAAATCAGGCGAACCTAAAGGTAATGATTAGAATTAGCAATTGAAAAGCTTTCACTGTGCTCATGCTTCTCCAAATAGTTAAACCTCCCTCTGACCATACAGAGCGTCTTGATGCCAGTCCCGAGCGGATGAGAGAGTTCAGAAAAGTCCTCCGAGAAGCCAAGACTTCATGGTTTGACCAACAATATGGCGACGCACAATTGAATCTTCTGATTCTTGCCACACATCCTGATTATCGCCGACAAGGAGCTGGTAGGAAGCTCGTACAATGGGGCCTGGACAAGGCATCCGACGAAGGGGTTGCTCTGACGCTCTTCTCTAGCCCAATGGGGCTGAAGCTCTACTCTAAAATGAAGTTTAGGGAGGTCAATAAAGCACGTGTCCAAGTTCAGGGGGAGGAAGAGTCCATAACTATCCCAGGTATGATATGGGAACCGCCCGAAAAGGCTCCTCAACAGAATAAGGGACAAGACGGGTCTTGGTGTACAATCTTGTAGTGCTTTGGTATAAGCTAAAGCCTACCTGATGAAGCAGTAAGGCGAAAGTAAAAGGAAGATATCGTGAAAAGTTCAAGAGAAGATAGGAAGGGGTAGATCTGCGAATGTTTCTCTCGAGTCATAGGTAAATGGACTGTTGAGAACTAAAGAGATGGAAGTGACAACACGCCAAAAAGTCAAAGGTGCTCCAGTGAGTCCACATGGAGGTAGTAATGGTACTAGTATGCAACTGAATTGAACTCTGCTTGATGATATGTATACCGACTCAGAGGCCAGAAGAACTTGCCTGTCTAAACTGAGGGGAGATAGTAATGGATTGATATTCTTGACTTTTGCTTTATTTTGATATTTGAAATGTCTCGTTGGACAAATATTCACACAAGGCGTATCTGCAAGGCCCCAGCTTCTGATTACCTGTTCACATCAGGTACGATAGAATAATGTGAATGCGGACCTGGAGTGAGTCATAGGTGTTTGAACCAAATCTTCGCGATACTCAAGTGAAATGAAATGACTACTGGCCAGCTGTGGCTTTAGGATGAAGTCGACGACGCTTGCTTTGTCGTCGTGAAGTTACTGCTTCGAAAAGATTGATGATGCCTGTCTTGACAGCCGTGCACGGACCAACTCTTGCGTAATGCGAGACGGTTGCTTTGGCGATTGCCCCGCTACCGCGAGTGTAGTAACATCAGGACATTGGACACCTTAGCAAGACTCAGACTCGACTGCCTCCAGGACGAGGCAGCTCAACGCACCATCCGACTTCGTCTGCAGTGTTAAACTGAGTCCTCCGAGCCATTGATTGCCCAAGATGCAGTCGGGAATCTCCGGTACGTCCGTATTCTGCGGCTCCGACCCCGCCATTGCCATATCAATAGACTAACATGAGCTCGATCAACAGCATCACAGGAGCTGGTCTCCCACTTCAACACACTATTATCCTCCGACGAACACTTCGGCCTCCTCGCCACCATCTCTTCCGAGGCCCTCAAACCGATATCGTTCCTCACACCGTCATCTACCTCCTCATCCACCTCCTCATCCTTCTCCGACAATGTCTCCGCTCTGCTGTCTCCCGTCTTGAAGCCCAATGAGGCCCTCTACATCATCCTCCGCCGCTACCCGACGGCGCCTCGCTTCGTCGCCGTGACCTATGTCCCGGACTCTGCCCCCGTGCGCCAAAAGATGCTCTTCGCGTCAACAAGATTGACTCTTGTGCGTGAGCTCGGCAGCGAGCACTTCCGCGAGACCATCTTTGCAACGACAGCCGAGGAGCTGAGCCCCGCTGGCTTCGAGAAACACGATGCCCACAGCGCCATGGATGCGCCTCTCACAGAGGAGGAGCGCAGCCTTAGCGAGGTCAAGCGCGCGGAGCAGGAAGCTGGTCAAGGAACGGGCACCCGGGAGATCCACCTGAGTAAGAGCCTCGCGATGCCTGTTGCCGAGGATGCACTCGCTGCGCTCAAGGCTCTCGGGGCAGATGGCGGATCGAGTCTTGTGATGCTGGTAGGCTCTCGCAATCGAAATGATAAAGTCAACGGAAAGTCTGCTAACGCAAGGTAATTATAGAAAGTCAACTCGGAGACGGAAGCCGTCGAGCTTGTACCGGACAACTCCAGCCCATCCTCAATATCCGAATTAACGCAGACGATCTCCTCCACCGAGCCGCGGTTCAGCTTCTTCCGATTCACTCATGACTACGGCGGAAATCACAGCAGCCCATTGCTATTCTTCTATACGAACCCGGCGACGCCCGGCACCAAGGCTATTAGAAACCGTATGCTGTATCCGCTTATGAAGCGAGCTGTCCTCACAATTGCGGAGACGGAGGCAGGGCTCAACATTGAAAAGAAATTCGAGGTGGAGGAGCCAAGCGAAATCACCGAGGACTCTGTGCTAGGGGAACTGCATCCCAAGCTCGAAGTGCGGAAGGGGTTCAGCCGCCCCAAGCGTCCGGGCCGGTAGTCGATAACTGATTTACGAATTGGAGTCGTCTTTGGGCAAGCATAAATCAGCAAGAAATGAGTTATACAGAGAAGATTGGCTACGGAAAAAAACCAAAGGCTTCAATATGCTAAATGGTCTATGTCCAGTATGGTGCTTTTGTACCACATATGATTATGTCCAATGTCCAAAATGCCTCTCCCCTATCCGCAACATAGGAAACACGACCGTGTCATAGCCCCATCTGCCTGCCTTCATACCGAGATCACGCTGCCACCACCTTCGTGCTACGAGCCCGTCTGTCAATAAGTATATGACGAACCCAGCCAAGGAGAGAGAGGTAGAAAAACAAGAAATGCAAAAGCCATCATGCATGCTTCGAACTCACTCTTCGTACTCGCCGCCGCTCAGGCTCCACTGGCTCTTTTCTATCTTGTCCTTGAGGAATTCGTACACTGTAAACGTAACTGCCTGTCCTGGGGCAACGCGCATGATACGGGGTGTGATGCCCTTGTAGAACGCATGCATACCCTCTTGCCTGTGATCATGTGTTAGTCTCCATGATTGGCTCCAAGACTGATATCGACCTGCCACTTACCTAAACATATCCGATGCAATGGCCGTGATTCTTTGTATCGCACTGACACCTTCCTGAGCAGGGGTCTTCTGCAGACGTGTTTTGATGGTATCAATCGGGGCGTTGCTCAGAGGGCCCATCGCTCCAGACACAAGACCAATGACGGTCGTCTGCCAGCTGGGCAGGTTGCCGGTCGCGTACTCAGGCTGCCACTGCTTCAGAACCTCCTTGAAGTAGGTGTACGCCGTGAAGTTGACAGCCTGGTTGCTACCTTGCCGCAGAGCCGTCAAGCTCACACCGCGGTACAGGGCACCGAATCCTTCCTCCTTGACGACAGTGTAGAGCGCGTGCGCAGCATTGCGGTACTTGGGGATGTCGAGCGGGTCCGCCATGCTGTGGTGCTGCGCCTGCAGCCGGATCTTGATGACCTCCATGGGGGTGACGACGGCGACGGCCTCGGTGACACCCGCCGCGAGGCCGGCCACGAAGGTGCCTGAGCTCGAGATCATGCCCGTATTCTTGTCCGCCAGCAGCTGCTTGTATGACTCGAACGAGGTGAAGCGGATGGCCATCTTGGGCACGATGCCTGTCAGCACCGCGCCGAGACCCTTGTATAGACCCAGTGGCGTCTCCTTCTTCACGATCTCGACGCCGGTACGGATGAAGCCGCGCTTGGGCATCCCGGGCTGGCGGCCGCGCCGCGAGAGCTGCATTCGGACCTTGATGGTATCTGCCAGCCGGATGGATTAGCGCTTGCTCGCGAATTGATATTTTGCAATGCTTGAGAGGGGCCAGTTCTCACCTAGGGGATGGCACACCAACGCCTCCATCATGCCAGCACCTCCACCCGCTATTAGGTTGGTCGCCGCCGAGGCCGGCTTCTTGCCGTCTTTGCCATTGACTTTCGTCGCCATCGTATTTCTCTACCTGTGATGCTCTTGATCCTGCGCACAGTCTACCGTGGGCTTGCGCCCTTTTGTTTCTTTACACAAAGAACAATTCCTCCGGGAAATTCTCCGCCAGCGTTTAAAAGCTGTTTGTCGATGGCAAGTCTCGAGGGAAACAGTCGACACCGGAAACGTAGAGAGGCCAGAGAGATACAGCAACAGGGATTGAAGAAAGAGATGGAGTGGAGATTGACAAGCACCGTCGTCAACAAGAAGAGACGAGGGGAAGAATAATGAGGGTATCACGGAGATAGCTTGAGCAGCATGACATGTGGAGAGCAGGCAAGCAAACAGGAGACGAACCGAGGGACGCCGAGAAGAGGATGCGCCGGCCGCTCAAATATAAAGCAAGCGCGGCTATGCCAGTTGGATGTCCCGAGAGGTGAGTCAAAGGGGTACCGTACCGGTAGCATGTCTGATCGACCTACCTTACCTACCTAGGTCTACTGTACTAGTAGGTATACTTAGGATGGGACTTCAATGAATGAGAGCTGCGGTGGAGGGCACGCAACGAAACGCAACCAGCAGCGGGTCCCCAAGCCCTTTGGCCCGCGGCTGACACACAAGCACAGGCAAGACATGATGCCCAAAAGGGGTTTGGGGCGGGATCTCATGAGCATTGCGGGCGGGCATGGCAAAGTCTAATCGGGAATGGGTGGAGATGGGCCCTGAGCCTTTGCCGGTAGCGCGAGAACTTGACCTTTTGATATTTTCGTCAATCAGGAGGTTTGCCGGGCTCTGGGGTCCTGTCTGGGTCTGGATCTGGCTGGCTAGGGAGGATGGAAGACGGCAGGCTGGAGGCGTTCGGCGCAGCGGAGCTGCAATTCCAAGATGAATCAGAATCAGACCAGCTCCAACCCACTAACACATCCAACCATTGGATCTGACAGTCTCTCTTTCACCTGATACCAACCAATCGAAGAGCCTTTGCCGTCACCTCGAAAAGATGACATCGAGATCAATTGGCATTCGGTGAGCTCGTGACCGCCATGACGGCAGGGGCAAGCAGGACAAGACAAACGAAGAATGATCAAGCAATCGGCTTGTGATTTCCTCGATTTGTGACGTCGTCCTGTTAGCCGACTCGAAGCCGAGCTTGTGATTTTGCGGGGGAGCTGCTCTGGGCGCCTGAGGGGTCAAGAGCCTGTGCACGGACCATCTCTCGTCCCAGTCCCAAATTCTCCAAGTCCCGCTAGCCCGGATCTGGGTCGCTTCTACCTTTAGCTCGGATGCTTCCGGGACATTCAACGACTGGGAACGCCGTGGATCAGCCCGTGAAATGCCGAGGTCCAAAGTCCAGGTCGGTTGTGTCGCGTCAACTCACCAGTCATTCCATCAAGATGCTCCATTCGAGATAGGCTAAGGCATCTGCCCCGGACCACCTCACGTTATCTGTCGGTTATCAGATCGAGATGCGCCGTTTCAGGCTCGTGATTCCCCATGTTCATGTTTGGTGGACTTGTGTCCCGGTTATCAGCCAAGCATTGTGCGTCGGGCATACGCATCGCTGTTACGGGCTTCCCATGAGCTAGTCTCCGAGCTGTCCAAGCCTGTATGCGAGCCAACTGCTGTCTCATGTCATTCACACGTTTTGAGGCTGTTCTGATACAAGTGTATTACTAGTGTGACGTGCGTGGTAAAGACAGTCTGAAGGAACTCTAACATATCTCCCCAAGAGTCAACGAGTGTATGTTAGGAAAACAACGATCATAACGGTCCCAATTTCATCATTCGTGGGTCATAACTGGCATCTCACTCCACAATTCCATTCCTCCCAGCATTTACGGAGTCATCCTTTCTGCGACCTGGAATAGGAGGCGTGGCTTGTAGACAATGTTCCAATCCTCGTCAATCTCCTCGTTATCAAACACTCGTATATTCCCAGCGGCCAACTCTTCAGGGAGGCTCCAGGCCAGCTCGGCGTTCTTGAGCCACATGCGCACCAAGTAGCGGGACTGGGTGTCTGAGTCTTCAAAGGCCTCACGGGCGTGAAGACAACCGAAGTTATTGACAAAAGTCAAATCACCGGGCTGCATATTCAGAGCCAAGTGGTTAGTTTCGGCGATGACCTGTACAACATCGAGCGCTTCGACTTGGACTGGAGTGAGTCGAGGAAGGTCTGGTGTCCTGGTGATCCAGCTCAGACCGATAAGGGGGTCTCGAACGAAATTCATCATGATTCTGTTGTCGTGGTAGTAGAGTAGAGGGCGAATATTAGAGGGTGTCATCTTTCCGCGTCTAATATATGGTTAGTCCAGGCAGCTCTTACCACAGGGGCAATGCCTGGTGACCTACGTATCAAACGGCCAATTAGCAGCTGCGAGGACCGGTATCAAGTCAGGTCGCAGTTGGAGAAGGTCTTCATAGATTTTCGCCGTGGATGCTATGATGTGGTTTCCACCCTTCACCGCGCGGGTACGAGTCTGCATGGCGAGGATATCGCAGAAGAGGTCCGTGTGAAATGCCTTCACCGTTCAGTGAACAACGCTAGATAGTCTGCGATAGAAGAGTAGACTTACAGAGGCAACATTGGAGTCTCGAATTGGTCTTTCGGCTTGTCCTTCCTGCATATATTTTGCCTCCCGTATATGAGCTGTTATTCCAATGTAAGTTCGGCGCGGCAATAATTGGTCTCACTGGCAGATACTGACCGAAGATGTGCCCCTCATCATCTTGCTTTCCTCTTTTCTCTCCAACATAGGCGGATACACCCAAGAACAACAGAGTGTTGTCTTCTCTCGAATAGTGCTCCGGGTTAAGGCCCCTTAGAGCGAAGAACCCTTTGCCGAAATGAAGTTCTTGCGTCAAGGCTCGAATCCGCCCTGACAAGGTTGGAAGCGGGAAACTGTCGCGATCAATGCTTTGTCCGTCTAAGCCTAGGCCTACGCAGATTTAGCCTACGGGAATAAGTCATTGCAAAGGCCTCTTACATTTGAAGCTTTTCAAGGCGGCTTCGATCTCGCGAATCTCAGCCTTGCTGAGTACATAAGTATACTGCTCCTCAAAGCGGAACTCAGCCCCAGCCCACGCCACACGTGGATTGATAGCCGTAGGCCAGCCTTGAATTGGACATCTGACATGGTCATTTCCGAAAGTGCTTGTTTCACTTCTCACAATTGGAGTTTCCGATCCTGTCAGCTTTCGTAATTTCGACGGGAAGGCACGAGGCTTCGGAGTATCCACGGCTATACTAAGAGAAGGCATGATTCTTCAACCTATCAATAAATTGTCACTAGAGATAGCGGTGTCCAGTTTCATGGCCAGGGAAATCAGGCTCTCTATGGATGCCTTCATGCCTTATTTTAAGTCCCGTGGACCGTGATTGAGGCTCTTCGGGGTCCTCACTGTCTCTCACCGATCCACCGTCCCACCCACGCTTTCACCCACGACCTGAGCAGGACAAACGCAGAGCATCCTACACATCTATTTCCACACATCCAATAGACTAACAGACATTCGAAGATGGTGTAGTAGAAGCGGGGTAAGTTGAGGCTCTTCTGATGCGAGTCTCCGGCGATTGTCGTGCTCAGCGAGGCTCTCGTCTCCTTGTTCCGCCGTGATAGGCTGACGTTGACCTTGTCCTATGCGTGCGTTATCTGGTTTACCTGTGGCTCACACCGTCAAAAGCAAGTAGAGCCCATGATCTCGTCACTACTCGTCACCAATCATCTAACAACCAATCGATCGTCCCAGTGAGCGTGGGATAGCGCCTGCACAACTATCATGAATAGCTAATTCGCCTGCGCATGGGGCGCCTCTCGAGGAAATGTTTCGAGAAATGGTTTCGAGGAATGGATTGGCTTACGCCATTTCGTAAGAGATATTCATCCGAAGGAGATTGTGCCTGTTTTAGGAAAGAGGCATGACATGTATTGTTGTTTCAAGAGAGTTATCTGCTCTCTGACGTGGTAAGTAGGTAGAAGGAGTAGTTCTCCTTGTTTCTTACGCTCACAGAAAGGGGTTCATTCAACACAAACCACTTTATTTCGTTGAATCCTACGCGACATTATTGATAACTTTCCCGGGAACATGGATCCTTCCTCAAGCATGTTTGAAGCGGTGATGTATCCAACGGCATTATACGCACCGTTGCTCGAGGAGAGCCACAGTGAACGGGGCAATGATGACTGGGACACATCTATGACAAATCCGAAGAATAAAGTCTGCTCTCTTGATCTTCCATGCAATCTGAAGTGGAGAATGGATGGCGGCGACGCCGACGGGACAAGGTTCTTTGCTGTACCCACATTTGCCATCGGCCGACCCCCCTTACGAGTCGATATATACGTCCCGGACCAATTGCAACACCCACAGGCACTCCGGGAGACCTTGCAGTCACACAAAACCTTGATCTCCAGCGGAAGGGAGCTTGCCAATCTTGGGTTATCGCGGCTCATCCTCAAGAGATTGCAATCATGGTCTAGCTCAGACAGTGATTTCGAAGGTACCTACGACACTTTACCTTTTGGGTCACGTATTGTGCTTGAGGAGATTCGGCCCGACATCGACAGTATCCCTGTTCACCTCATACCACGTCATGACATCGAAAGACAGTGGCTCACTGTGAGGGAGCTTCAAGATATGTGGCAGCTTCGTGACACCCAGTGGCCACCACTCCTGGCTCACGATAGGCTGCGGCTAGAGGCTCAAGTGCATGAAGCTATCTCGCTCGTTCGAATTGCAGACCAGTCAGGATCTGAAACATATGCTTTCAAGTCAATTAGCACTGACATCAAGTATTTCTACCACGAGCTCAAGATGCTCCTCACAATGCCACCTCATCGTCATATTATCTCTCGCCCCCTATATGTCGTGACTAAACGATGCCTCTTTGGTGGCAAGATTGGAGTGTGTGGCTTTTTACTTCGGTATTATCCGTTTGGAACTCTCAGAGATGCTCTCAGCCATCAGTTGTCACCTCAATGGCGTCCCCCTCCAATGTCTAACCGGCTCAGATGGGCTCTGCAGATCACGTCAGCTCTTCTTCACCTGCAAGACACCCCAGTGAAGTTTTACACTGATCTCAAGCCTAATAATATCCTGCTATCACAATTTGATGATGGCCTTGGAACAATTCTTGTCGACTTCGAACAACGTGGGTCTTGGTATTCTTGGTCGCCGCCTGAAGTGTATTACATCGAGTATTTGGAAATGCTTGCATCTACTCATTCGATTACTTTGAACTCTGAGCATTACACGACTCTTCTCCAAAGTTATATGCCAGATTGGAAGCCACACAACAAAAAGGCCCGCTACAGAGACTCCCTACAAGGCTACAGCCAAGCGTGGCTTTCTCTCAGTCCGCAAGAACAAGAAGCGGCACAGGTCTTCATGGTGGGCAAATTGCTCTGGTGTTTGTTCGAAGGTACTGGCTCACCTAACACTTGTGTGACCGTGGAAACGTTTCGGGAGGATCCGAGTAGTCAGTATTTCCCAGAATTCAGACACACGCCCCCTCAAATCAGAGATTGCATCAGACAGTGTACTAGCGGTGCGCCAGAGTGGAGTGGCAGACTGTCATTTGTTGTCCGGATGGGAGACAAGTTGTTCCCGCGAGGAAAGACCGGCCAGTCAGGCGAGCCGGAAGGCACTGCCAAGGAAACGCAGAGTGCCGCTCGAGACTGGTGGCGACAAGAGATAAATGCGGCTGAAAAATTCCTCGCTGCTCGAGTGAGACAGAGGAATGGGGAGTGCCGAGGAAACGACGCTGAGCTGCTCCAATTCCTCCACCAGAGGCCTGCCTTGAGAGATGTATATCGTGTTCTCCAGGAGATTCATTAAAGTTTTAAATCTATGAAGCATTAATCTTGTTTTCTCGCATGCATATTAAGCCAATACATTACTAGTTCATACTTGACACTTGTTCATCAGCCTACGTCGTGGACATCTTCCGCGATGCTCAGTATGAGGTATTCCTATTAGCACTTCTTCGTTGCTTGCCGCTAGACTATCTCAACATTATGATTCTTCAAAGCTACCTTGGGCGACTAAGTCTCAGACTTACCTACATAGGCATATAACCTATTTTAAATGTCCCGGAATTCGAACAACCCCTGTCTTGTTTATTTTCTCGAACCATGTCCCCAAGGCATCGTCATCCTCGTCAATACCTAGAGTTCACAGATCGATTTTATCAATGTCTCCAGAAAGGCTGAGATGCTGTACGATGATGCGACAAACACCTTCAAAGGCTCAACATTCAACACCAGGGCACATCTACTGGTGGAGGCTAAAATCTGTCGCCGGAATCCCTAACACTGAAGGCAAAGATGGAACTTTGACACAAAGATGGAACTTTGACATGGAATACCCAGCTTCCAGGCTATCTCGCTGGCGGTGGAGATTGAGCAGTACTACCAATGTCAGACACATCTTCTATCCTCTTAAGTTAAGGCAGCACGCCAGATCTTATGACGTAGGAAGGGCTGACTGAAGAATAGTCGTACGGTGTCGAGATAGAAGTTGAATAGATACAGGTGAGCTCTAGTCTCGAATACTTCTAACTACAAAGAGTGTTAAGAGATGAGGCAAGCTAATGACAAAAGGAAAATCAACAGCAAGACTACAGAATCGAAAGACGTAAATCATGACCAGGGGCACCATGACGAAGCCTCAGAAATTCGTTCATTTCCGATTCCCTTGAACTCTCAAAAATTCGAGTGCCACAAGCAAACACCAATGCAGAGCACGCTGGTCGAGAGCGGTGTTGGGAAAATATATCGATCACTCAAGTCTACTTGATATCGTCAGATACATCCTTTCCTTCTAGACGACGGTCTCTAATCGAAGGTCCATGCCGTCGAAAATTTGCCCTCCGCGCGCCATTCCTCCAACACTGCCATGTAGTCATCGATTCCACGCCCCCAAATACCTAATCTTGCCATCTTGGCCTTTGCCTCTGGCAGTAGACTCTTTCGGAGGCGCTCGAGCTCACCCTCGCCGTTTGATAGGGATGGAGTGCAACCTTGAACAGGTGAGAAGACCAGCATCATTGAAGCAATTTTGTCTCCATAACTCTTTTCAGCCTCTGCAGTAGGCTGAAGGACTCGCTTGCGATCTCGTACTACTTGCGAATATGCTCCGTTAATCAGGTAGGCAATGTGTTTGGCGAGCTTGTCATGGAGCCCAGCGCCCGCATCTCCGCAGTGGGGGCCTGGAGAAGACTCTCGCCCGGCCGTTGCTGTGAAGGCGAGTGCCTGTGTAGTCAAGTACTGGCACGAGCGGCGCACGACGACACACTGAAATCTAGTTCTCTGGCAAGCTGGACGGCTACGCGATGTATTGACGACACTATTGCTTTATGAAGAACTCAAATAAGCACTCTCGCCCTGGAAGTAAACCGAACACATCAGGGGATGAACCGTCCACGAAGCAGTGGAACTCCAATGTCATGGACACAACTTTAGGTGAGCGGCGGCCCCTTGGTACCAGCGAACTATGCTGCTGGGGCACCTCGCGCCCCAGCTGATGCAATCAAATATCCTCAGAGTTAAGAAGGGAACTCTCCGTTTCATTGGTGCAGCGAGTCAA